ATGCTCAGGCGATGCGGATTTGGGGATAGGTGGTGTCAGTGGATTCAGTTCTGTATCTCAACGGTTTCGTTCTCAGTCTTGGTTAATGGCAATCCCGAGGGGTACTTCCGGAGCAGTAGAGGCTTGAGACAAGGTGATCCGTTGTCCCCATTGCTGTTTGTTATTGTGATGGAGGCATTCAGTAAGATGGTTGAGAAAGCTGGGTTGGAGGGTCTGTTACGAGGCTTTGCGGTTGGTCACCTACAGGTCTCCCACTTGTTATTTGCTGATGATACACTGATTTTTTGCGATGCAGATGATGAGCAAATCAGAAATTTGCGTCGGTTGCTTCTGTGTTTTGAAGCGGTGTCTGGACTGAAGATGAATCTGGGGAAATCTGAGGCTATTCCAGTGGGTGAGGTTGATAACGTGGAGGAATTGGCGGCCATAATGGAGTGTAGGGTTGCACAATTGCCCATGTCATATCTTGGGCTTCCTTTAGGAGCACGATTTAAAAGTAAACAAATTTGGAATGGAATTCTTGAGAGGGTGGAGAGGAGGTTAGCAGGGTGGAAGCGTATTTACCTTTCAAAAGGAGGCCGTCTTACTCTCATCAAATCCACCCTCTCTAATCTCCCAACCTATTTTCTATCATTGTTTCCTATTCCCGTTGCAGTGGCAAACAGATTAGAGAGGATACAAAGAGAATTTCTTTGGGCAGGATTGGGAGAAGAGAGGAAATTTCATTTGGTTAAATGGGGAGACGTTTGTTCCCCTATTGGGGTGGGGGGTCTTGGTTTGAGGAGCCTTGTCTTATTTAACAAGGCCTTGTTGGGTAAGTGGCTGTGGCGGTTTGGAGTGGAGAGGGAGAGTTTTTGGAGAGAAATCATAGGGGTAAAGTATGGTGTTATGGAGGGGGGGTGGTGTTCGGGTGAAGGTCGTGGTCCTTATGGGGTGAGCCTATGGAGGTATATCAGGAAGGGATGGAGCGAATTTCAGAACAGATTGGCTATGGAAGTGGGGAATGGTACGAAAGTCAGGTTCTGGGATGATTGTTGGTGTGGAGATCAATCGTTAAAAGTGCGGTTTCCTGTTTTGCATCGAATTGCTTTGGAGCCTTCAACTATGGTTAGTGAGGTTATGGCTATACAGAATGGGAGTCCTAGCTGGAACATTACTTTCGGGAGGGGTTTACATGATTGGGAATTGGATGATTATGCGTTGTTTTTGGCTTCTTTGTATGAAGTGCACCTCAAGGTAGAAGAGGATGACCGTAGTAGGTGGAGGGGGCCACAAAATGGTATGTTCTCTGTTCGCACTTATTTAAGATCCTTATTGGAACTTGTGGAGAGTTCTTTCCCCTGGAAAAGGGTATGGCAATGTAAATTACCCCTAATGGTGGCATTTTTATTGTGGACGGTCGTGAGGGGGCAGGTGTTAACGGTAGATAACCTTCGACGAAAAGGTTGTTATATAACTGAATGGTGCTATATGCGTAAGATGGATGGATAAGAGATTGACCATCTGTTCATTCATTGTGAAGGTGTTCGTTGGTTGTGGAACGATATTTTGGCTTCACAACAGATGAGTTAGGTGTTGCCAAAGCGTATTGGGGAGGTGGTGTGGGCATGGAAGAGAAAGTTTCGAGACAAGAATAGCAAGATTGCTTGAGATCTCATTCCAGGATGCCTAATTTGGTGTGTGTGGATAGAAAGAAACAGTCGATGCTTTAGAAAATGTAACACGGACGCCAGTTGTCAAATCTCTTATGTTTTACTTCACTTTGTATAGTTGGTTTAAGGCTGCAACTATTAGTCCGGTAGAAGGGTTGCCAAATTTCTTGTTGTTCCTATCTTGTTTAAATTGATAATGCACTTCTTGTGTATTATCTTTTGATTTATAAAATTACATAATTACTTATCAAAAAAAAAAATAAAATCTGCATAATAATCATTCCAATTCTGATTCTTCTATAAAGCCCTTGTTTGGGCTCCATTTTAATGAGGTGTTGGAAAAAAATGTATTTTGAAATAGTAATTTTTTAAAAAATGTGTGATTAAAAAGTAAGGAAAAGTTTTGGATTTCCTTGTAATATTATTTTTACTTCTTTTTTTTTCTTCTTTCCTTTTTCTTCTTTCTCCTTTTTGCTCTCTATAAATATAACGTTGTAGTCGAGAGAGTGGAGAAGGTGGCGGCGCTAGGTTTTCCCTTCTTTTTCTTCTTTCTTTTTTTTTTTCCATTTTTTTTCCTTCTCTCTCTCTCTCTCTCTGTCCGTGATTTAAGGTTTTATTTGTATAAAATGAAATGGATTCTATATAGTGCTCCTTAATGCTCCACTAAATCCAAATTGCAATCAAATTCCTCATTTTCTATTTTATATAACATTTAGTAATTCCCATAATTGAAAATTGAATCCTAAAATTCTATTTTATTCGTCTTAACCTTTTATTTAATACCAATTTCCTTCTTTGTGAATAATTGATTTTGATCTATACAAAATGACTTCTTGGATTAGTAAAAAAAATTGAAGTTTGAAAGACGTATCCACGTACTTGTGTCCGAAATTTGGACTCTTTTTAACTATGTTCCTGTATCTTGCATTTTAGAAAATAAAAGATCCGACACTTAGATACATACACGTACCCAATACCCATACCCGAGTCTGAGGATCATAGATTGAAGGATTTTAATTTTCTTTCACTTATCTTGTAAAATGTTAATAGCTTCTTCCAATGCTAGTTATAGGCTTGTGCATACTTCCAACATTAATGGAAGACTTTATACATTGTACATAATAAAGACTATACATGGCATAAACTAATAGAAGACAGCATGTTGCACACATAAAAGACTTCGTACATTGGATCGTATGCAATCGAAGAATTTCCTTAACCAGTTCAATTATTGTATAAATATGTGTTAATCAATCCAAACTAGTAATGGTATTATTAGAATACACTAAATTAACAAACCTATTTTAGTATTTTATTCCAATTTCATGGGAATTCCGGCATGTTCAATATTAAAGATAATTATTTAGCTTTTAGCTTTTGGGCTCCATTGGACAAAACTCCTGAACCGGATCGAATCGAACTGGACCCGAACCAAATTGAATCGAACCGAGCGGTTCTTCTCAAGTTAAATACCCGAATGAGTATCTGAATCGAGAACCGATGAGTTTAGTTCGGTTCTCGGTTCTAGACCAAGAATTGAAAAATCGAATAAGAACCAAATCTCCCTAATTTTTTTAATTTAATATTTTAAATAAGTCAAATTATTTTATTTTTTTAAATAAATTTGTTAACTAATTAATTTAGTCCAAACCCAAAATTAGAAATAGTAAAAATTATATTTTGGGTTTGGACTAAATTAATTAGTTAGCAATTTATTTTAAAAAATAAAATAATTTGACATATTTAGGATAAAAAAATTAATCCAAACCCAAAATATGATTTTATTATTTCTAATTTCCTGCTAAGTCCGACTTAATCAAATTGACCTAAATTTTATCCAAATCTCTTATTCTACCGTAGTCTCATTTCTGCCGTTCTATTATTGTTAACTCGCAATTTTCCTCTTCCTCTTCTTATAATTTAACAGTAAAATTTATGAAGAACTCAAGAAAAAGAAGTGCAAAAGATATCACAAGATAGGACTACGTTATTTTGTAAAAGTTAAGATTAAACATATCATAGTCGAATTAATGTATCGTTGTTGTAACATAAAAAAAATTAATTATTGTACGAAACTTGGGAACCGAACCGAACCGAATTGAACCGAATGGAACCAAACTCGAATGGTTCCATAATTAAATTTGGACCCGACGGTTCAATTTACTAAATACTCGAAAATTCGGGTTTGAACCGGACCTTGCCCAGCCCTAATTCTAACTCAAAATTTACGTCATTTGGTGTAGAACTCATCCACATTAGTGACAATTAACTAGGGTCATTCTTAACAATTGCAAAGCACGCGCCCTTTGAGCTGTATGGGATTATTAATCATAAGCTTTATTATTGAGATTCGTAGTAATAAGGTCCTCTTGGCAATAAAACTAGGTCATCCTAACCGTTCCCTAACACTGCCCTAACTGAGGGACTTTCGTCTACTATTTTGGTGACACTCAAACCATTCTTTTCTAGAACTGATTAATGACCATGCTTTGTGCAGTGTGTTGCTGATTCTTTTTGGAGCACTTGGTCTTAATGATAAATTGATAATCTATTTTTTTTTTCCATCTGTCTTCTCTAATTTGCACCTCGTAATCTTCTTAGCTAGTTTATAAGGTTATAAAATGTTTCAAAGGCGTATTCAAGTATCGAGGGCATTTTTCTTTCCTAAGGCAAGGCGTAAGCCTCATAGTAAACCAAAAAATTGTCAAGAAATTATTAAAATGCAAAATAAGGTATAATACATCATAAACAATATTCAAAATTCGTAATAGAGTAGTTTAAAGTGTGCAAGCAATCAACAAAAAAAGAAAAAGGAAAAAAAATATCTATAAAGAAACTATTATTTTTGTTCATGGGGGAATGGACTATTTCCAAATTGGGTTTATGAGAGATGCAATTTTTGAATGTTTTAGTGGGCAGTGGTCTATTCTCAAAATCCAATAATAATTTTTATATTTTAGAGGCGTACGCCTCCAAATGCTTTGAGGCTTTTTTGCATACCTCACTCTGAGGTGGGCCTTAAGGTGGGTTTCAATTGGGTTTTTTTTTTAAACCATGGTATTATATAGGTTTCAAGTAGCTAGCTGAATTTATTGTCTTTGCATCTTTTGTATAATTGATCTTTAATATGGTTTATTGGGAGTAGTGATAATATGTTTTCCAGGTTTGAGTCTTCATACAATATAAACTGCATAAGACTATTTTATAGCCAACAATTTAGTCAACCAACTTACCAGATATCTATGTACTCATCCAGATTTTGAAGTTTACTATTTTATAGCAGATAGGCTTTCTTTTTTCAATTTGAATTGTATACCCATTGTCTGTGTTTCCATGTGTCATGCGCAGGCACTTCTTCATTCCTCCCATATGTATCATGAAGCCAAGCATTCATTTGCCAGTCATGGCGTAAAGTTCGATTCCGTTGAGGTTGATCTACCTGCCATGTTGGCCCAAAAAGATAAGGCTGTGGGTAACTTAACCAAAGGTATTGAGGGTCTATTCAAGAAGAATAAAGTAAACTATGTCAAGGGATATGGCAAGTTCCTGTCTCCTTCTGAAGTTTCGGTGGACACCCTTGAAGGTGGTAATGCTGTTGTTAAAGGTAAGAATATAATAATTGCCACTGGTTCTGATGTCAAAAGTCTACCGGGGATTACCATTGATGAAGAGAGAATTGTATCATCTACTGGGGCTTTATCTTTAAAAGAGATTCCTAAGAAACTTGTGGTTATTGGTGCTGGTTATATTGGGCTTGAAATGGGCTCTGTCTGGGGACGTCTAGGTTCTGAGGTTACTGTTGTTGAATTTGCACCAGATATTGTCCCAACCATGGATGGTGAAATTAGGAAGCAATTTCAACGTTTCCTTGAGAAGCAGAAGATGAAATTCATGCTTAAAACGAAGGTGGTGAGTGTTGACACCACAGCGAGTAGTGTAAAGTTGACCCTTGAACCAGCAGCTGGTGGCAATCAGACTATTCTTGAAGCTGATGTTGTTCTTGTTTCTGCTGGCAGAGTTCCATTTACAGCTGGTCTTGGATTGGAGAAGATAGGAGTTGAAACTGATAAGGCTGGCCGGATCTTGGTGAATGAACGGTTTGCCACAAATGTATCAGGGGTATATGCCATTGGTGATGTTATTCCTGGACCAATGTTGGCTCACAAAGCTGAAGAAGATGGTGTTGCGTGTGTGGAGTATATTGCAGGGAAGGAAGGTCATGTGGACTATGATATGGTTCCTGGAGTTGTTTACACACACCCAGAGGTGGCCTCTGTAGGGAAAACTGAAGAGCAGGTTAAAGCACTTGGAGTTGATTATCGTGTTGGGAAGTTCCCTTTCTTGGCAAATAGCAGGGCCAAGGCAATCGATGATGCTGACGGATTGGTTAAGATACTTGCCGAAAAGGAGACTGACAAGATTTTGGGTGTCCACATCATGGCTCCTAATGCTGGGGAGCTCATTCATGAGGCAGTTTTAGCTTTGCAATATGGAGCATCAAGTGAGGACATTGCTCGCACCTGCCATGCACATCCAACAATGAGTGAGGCCATAAAGGAGGCTGCTATGGCCACCTATGACAAGCCTATTCATATATAGAAATAGAAGGCGGCGTACATTATTTTTATTTGTGTTTGGTCAAGTTTTGAACATTTCGGTTGAACCTACTGCAGGTTTTCTCGAATCAACCCTGCCAACAAAGATTTGCTTTTGTTGGTTCTCCTCTTTTCATATGGAATCACTGTATTGTATTTAAACTCATCTTTCTATACCACAACATGCATAATAATGGCTCGAGTGGTGTACATTGAGCTATATGCTGGGATAAAACTTACCTTTAGTAGGAAAGGACTACACTGTCCTTGTTCAGTTTACATATTTTGCATTCTGTTTTTCATGTGGCATTGTATGTTACTTGTTGAATATCATTACTAACGGGCATCATCACATGCCAGAGGTTGGTGCAGACGCTTCAACAGTGTTATAATCATCCTTGTCATGTACAAGGAAAAAACATATAGAAGGCATAAGTAAAGAGATTCGAACATCGCAAAAATACACAATAAATAAAACCCTTTTTGTAGGACCAGAAAATGTGCATCACGTCAGATGGCCTCTAATCACAGACAGCAAACGAAAAAAATGCTGCTCGTGCTGGGCTCCGCTGGAACAGTGTCGAGGAAGAAGGAGACCAGCACGCAGGAGAGGGTTTCAGGTTTGGCCTCGCCACTGATAACTGTTCCTCTTCCTTCTCTCTTTTTTTTTTGTTGGTTTTGTAAGAATTTTCTATCGTCAACAAAATTTCTTTTTTTTTTCTTTTCCGTCTTCACGCAACCATCACCTCATCCATTTTTACGCGTTTCCTCATTTCCTCTCTAAATTTCCCCTTCTCCTTCCCTCTTTTGAACTTGATCGACAGAAAAATCCATTTTCCATCCTATTTTTTCCTTTTCCTCTTCAAATCAAATTCTTTTTAACACTCAAATTTCATTCCCACAAGGATTAAATCAATCTCTGTCAATTGTGTTCTTCTTCCGTTGGTGGGTTGTAGGTACGTATGAGTTATTCATCGAGCTTAGCCTTCGCCTTTGCGTAAATCTCATGGGGTAATTTTGAATTTTCAGCTGCTAATTTTCTAATTGGAGAATGTACGAGTTTTTTTTTAGATATATGGGTGTAATAAAGATTGGTAATTTAAGAGTTTTTTTTTCCTTCCCATCATCATGGTGAGTTTTGCATCAGTTAATATTTGGTTTTGTTTGGTTTTTTTATGATTTGATTTGGTTAAATAAAAACTAT